GTCCCCAGGACCCTGCCAGCACACCAGGATGGGGACCCTCTGTCCTTCCAGCTGTCTCCAGGATCTTGTCAGCACATGAAGGACAGGGACCCTTTGTCCTTCCAACTGTCCCCAGGACCCTGTCAGCACATCAGGATGAGAACCCTCTGTCCTTCCAACTGTCCCCAGGACCCTGTCAACACACCAGGATGGGGACCCTCTGTCCTTTCTATTGTCCCCAGGACTCTGTCAACACACCAGGATGGGGACCCTCTGTCCTTTCTACTATCCCCAGGACCCTGCCAGCACACCAGGATGGGGACCCTCTGTCCTTCCAGCTGTCCCCAGGACCCTGTCAGCACACCAGGATGGGGACCCTCCGTCCTTCCAGCTGTCTCCAGGATCTTGTCAGCACATGAAGGACAGGGACCCTTTGTCCTTCCAACTGTCCCCAGGACCCTGTCAACACACCAGGATGGGGACCCTCTGTCCTTTCTACTGTCCCCAGGACCCTGTCAGCACACCAGGATGGGGACCCTCTGTCCTTCCAGCTGTCTCCAGGATCTTGTCAGCACATGAAGGACAGGGACACTTTGTCCTTTCAACTGTCCCCAGGACCCTGTCAGCACACCAGGATGGGGACCTTTGGTCCTAGCTGTCCTTGGGACCCTGTCAGTGTGCCAGGACAAGGACTTTCTATCTTTCCAACTGTCCCTAGGACCCTGCCAGCACACTAGGATGGAGACATCTGTCCTTCCAGTTGTCCCTGAGACCTTGTCAGCACACCAAGCACAGGGACCTTCTGTCCTTCTAGCTGTTCCAAGGACCCCGCCAGCACATGAAGGGTGAGGACCCTCTGTCCTTCCAGCTGTCCCCAGGACCCTGCCAACACATCAGGATGGGAACCTTTGGTCCTAGCTGTCCTTGGGACCCTGTCCATGTGCCAGGACAAGGGCTCTCTATCTTTCCAGCTGTCCTTGGGACCCTGTCCGTGTGCCAGGACGAGGACTCTCTATCTTTCCAATTGTCCCCAGAACCCTGCAGCACACTAGGATGGGGACCCTCTGTCTTTCTAACTGTCCCCAGGACCCTGTCAGCACACCAGTATGGGGACCCTCTGTCCTTCTAACTGTCCCCAGGACCCTGTCAGCAAACCAGGATGGGGACCCTCTGTCCTTCTAACTGCCCCCAGGACCCTGTCAGCACACTAGGATGGGAACCCTCCGTCCTTCCAACTGCCCCCAGGACCTTGTCAGCACACCAGGATGGTAACCCTCTGTCCTTCCAACTGTCTCCAGGACCTTGTCAGCACATGAAGGACAGGGACCCTCTGTCCTTCCAACTGTCCCTAGGACCCGGTCAGCACATCAGGACCCTCTGTCCTTCCAACTGTCCCCAGGACCCTGTCAGCACACCAGGATAGGGACCCTCTGTCCTTCCAGCTGTCCCCAGGACCTTGTCAGCATATGAAGGACAGGGACCGACCCTCTGTCCTCCTAGCTGTGCCTGGGACTCTGCCAGTGTGCTGGAATGGAGACCCTCGGCTGCACAGGAAGGCTCACCGGGACACCGATCTGAACGCCGTCACAGTCCCCTCTGGGTTGGCCGGTGTGTGACACTCCATTGCTGCAGAAGGAGTCATAGGTGACTTTCAGGGTGTCGGGGAGGGTGCTGTGATCCAGGAAGACCCTGGAGGAGAGTTTCTGTGGGCAAAGAGTGGCTGTGCTTAGAGTTGAGGTGTCCTGCCCTGCTGGCCCTGCTCTCCCAGTGGTTTGGATCTGGCTCCATCTTCCACCTCCTCCTGAGTCCCAGCATCGACTAAGGACACACATACACCCATGGAGAGCGCGGCAGGA